TTTGATATTTTGGCCAAAAAGAAAGCTTTCAATTCTGTATTATTCATGAAATCACTTAAAGGACCGAGAACATTCAAGGCAAGAGTGAGCAATTATAATCTTTCACCACTACTCTATTTTCTTAAATAGATAGGTTAAACGGAAAGCTTCTCACTCTTCTTCCCACATGCCAAAAATGTGAGGAAAACAGATTGATGCCAAATATGACACAATCAAATTGCAAACGAGAATAAATTCAATTTCTCTTACAGACAGGAAGAAAAATAAAAGTTTCTTACCTGTCTTTTTAAGAAATTCCCGGAAGGACGAGCCCCCATTTGTTAGAAATTAACAATCGGTCCGTATAGATTCTCTTTGCCACCTTGAAAACTTCTCAGTCCCTTAAAGTATAGATATACGGCCGGGAAGCAAGAAAACACACATTCAAATGGTATTCTCAATACTTCAATTTATTCATAGAAATACAGATCTTATATAGGCATATGTCGAGGGGAGTTTCACCCTCTTAACCAATGAGGATAGGATGACATACACATATAGGATGTTTTGGCCAAGAACATGTGTTTTGTATAAAATCGCCACATATACAGAAAAACATGTACATATTAGGAATAGACTTCCTGGCCAAGGATACTGAGAGGAGGGAGAGTGAGAGGGAGAGGGAAAGAAAGGAGGGGGAATAAGAGAGAGGGGAAAAAAAGGAGGGGTGAGGCATTCTCAAGACAGAGAGTGTTTTCTAACAATTATAAAATTAATTTGTGTGTATTGTGTGTGAGTCTAAAGTTGGAGAAGCCATTAGACACCAGAGAACCCTCCCATATACTGAGCCTATGTCATTCCTTTTAAATGTTTCCAAGACTGAAGGAATCCGATTGTAGGAATAACTCAGGAGTATTTTATGTCCACAGATATTAAGCAGTTTCATCGTTATAACACAAACATTGTTGAATCATGTTGTTACTGCTGGTAAGAAATTTAACATTTAAAAATGACTACTTTGTGATTTATTATTACTTAAATATTTTTTTAAGCCTACTTTACACTCAAAAATGATTTGCAGATTTACAGATTTACCGCATTGAATGCATGCGTAATCTAGAACCCCGCTGTTGTGAAGTACAGTGTGATTGGCAGAAAGAAAACATTACAGAAGAAGGCGTTTGTGAAGTCTTTGGTATGTATTTTAAAGTTTCAAGTATGCAATTTGTGTGTGTGTACCTGCAATCATATTTTGGGGAATATTTGTAAACAGAAGTGAGTTCACCTGACAAAATCTCCCAAACATTATTTTGGGGACATTTTCCTTTGTAAAAACAGTATAAAATATTTATATTATAATATAAAATAATGTAGAAATGCAGAAGTTTTCTCCTAATGTTTTCTGAATTTTTGAATATTTCTAAAACCAATAGAAGTCTATGTAATCTCCCCATGAAGAGTGTGTGTGTGTGAGTGTGTGTGTGTGTGTGTGTGTTTGTGTGTTAGTTTAAACCCATTGATAAACCTTCATGAAATTTATAGCCTTAATTACAATTAAGACGCTCTAGACGAAAGAGCGCTCCATTATAATCCCTTAAAAGCTGTCACTCATCTTAGTTCATTGCAATCTCACAAAGTTCCTTTATAATCAGTAACTGTCTACACTGCACAATGAATCCCTTATGTTCATTGTTTCTACACTTTGTCTGTTGTAATGAGAGGATTCATGAATGTGCTGGGCTGCGTTTCCCGAAACCTTCTTAACGCTACGTCGTTCGTAAGTTATACCTTAAGTTGTACCTTATCGTTAATACGTGTTTCCCGAAACGTTCTTAGTTAAGTATACCTTCTGTAAGTCATTCGTCTGTAAGGTTAGTCTGGACCACTCTTAGCTATAACTTATCACTGTTCACAGCTCACTCCGCTAGTGGCCACCGCTGTGCATAAAGCTTCTTCACATTTCAGCCGATACGATTGTAATTCTGTGGCAAGAAAAAGTGCAGAACCAAATACATATTACAATTCTAAAGTTGTAATACACCCAGTGTTCAATTAGTGTTCAATTAATTGAAGTGTTTTTATGCAAAGAATAAAACTCGTTACACTGATGGTTGTTAGTTTTTCCATTATAATATACAAAGGCACATCGGCTGGCAAACCATTAGGCAGCACATAATTAAGAGTATATTTAAAGGGAATGAATGTTATGGGGAGTTTGGTCAAACTATGGCAGCGAGACAGCGAATAGTTGTCCTAAATCAAAGACGGCTGCGTCCGCGGAGCCAGTTAGTGTATGTGCACTATTTCATAATAGTGTCAGAATAGCTACCATGTCAAAAGATACAATTCTACAAAAATCGCGCCTGCCACGGGAGCAAATTCAGCAGCTTTTACATCTTGTTGGTCCAACTTTGTCGAGACAAACTCGACGGAACTACCCCCTAAAGCCCTGGCTCTCTGTTTTTATGCTGTGGGGGGTTTTCTGGAGGTGTTTGGGGATGGATATGGGCTGAGTAAGACCTCGGTGTGGCGGTGCGTTCACACAGTCACAAACATCCTGCTCCGTCACGCCACCGATTACATAGCCTGCGTATGCCTTACGCCAGGCACGAAGTGATGGAGGCACATCAAGGCTTCCATGCCATTGTGTGTGTCCCGTGAGTAACTGGCCTTGTGGACGGGACACTTATCCCCATCACCAACCCATCAGCGCTCGACCAGGCCTTCATAATATAGAGCTTGAACAGTGTTCGTGCCTTGCATCTCTCCTTCACGCGCTCCAGTATTTACCGTCTGTGACTGTCGCAGGATTGCGCTCGCGCTCCGCTCGTCTCACTGACACATGTTTTGAGCAGCTGATGTGTGATCTCTCCTGAGTACTCGTGGCCAGTCATGCTAAAGTGAAGTAGTTTTGCTTTTCTGTAGTTTTTCAATGGCTCTCGGTCATACCGACGTGTCAAAGCAGAATGAACTGAAACGTTAAGACAATAAACACAATAAATAAATACAATTTATGAATGATGCAGTGCTAATGGACATATCATTTATTACAGTACAGAAACTATAAAGTATATTTTCTACCTAATTCTGTGCAGAAAATTTAAATAATTGTTTGTAGTATATAACAATCATAAAATTGCCATTAGGAAAAAATTATAGATTACAAATGATGATTTTGGGAAACGCACCCCAAGACTACACTTTAAAACCTTAAAATAAATAACATTTCTGTAATGTATAACCATTACTTTTCATTTAATATTTACTTTGTTTGCCGTGGGACACAAAGGGCGTTTTCTACGTCATACTGACAACAGAAGCATAACATACACCAAGAACGCAATATAATTACAAAAGGAATCAATTTTATTCTTGCGCTGTAATCCAAATCTTCAGAATCCATACGATTGTGAGGAACAGAATCAAATTCAAGATATATATATATATTTTTTTTTTTTCCCTTTATGTACATGTGCAAAAGCAATATATTGTAATGGAAATGTCATCTCAGGAAAAAAATGCAACTGTGTTTAATTTTGTACAGGAAATTACATGAAATGTGAATTTGAAAAAGGGCCAAGAAATTTGACCACCCCTTTAAAACTCGGCAGAAGAATTGACTCTACTGCTCGATGTAAAATACACAGTATGTACACTTCATTTTCTACATTAGCAAAGCCATGTTGCAGCATTAAACTCATAATCAAAATGTTTTTTTTTTATTAACATCAATGAAAACATTACCTCCTTGTTAATTCATGATAAGTGGATTTTCTGATTTATATACTGATATTCATACTGATTTTCAGAAAAGAAACGAGACTTGTATACAATGTCTTGTTATCATGATGGTAAACCCATATGTTGTGACACACCGTGTAAATGTGATCTAAATCTGCTGAGTGCAACATGTACAACGCAAGGTAATTAACAAATACATTTTACATTACTTATTACACCCTTCCTGCTTTATAGAGGATAATATGTATGAACTTGTATACACTATTACTCATTTTGCCACACTTACAATTCAGCCTTATAATTGCAATGTACTGTACATTTTTCTTTTCTTTTTTCCCAGAAAAAAGCATGGAGTGCAGTTGTGCGGGTGGTTCTGGTGATAATCCAGTGCTTAACTTTTGTTTTAAAAATACGTGCCTCCACAAAACTAACAAGACAGGTTGTGATTTTACGGCTGGTGATACATGCTATATTTCTACTGGTATGTTAAAATGATTTTCATGCTTTCCAGTCTTTATGACTTATTTGTCATAAATACAATAAAAAGATTCATATTGTATATACACTAGTAACTAGTAACACCCTGATCCCAATGCATATGATTTTGTTGTTGTTGCTGTTATTGAAAAAATATAAGTGTATTATATATTTAATTCAGAAGATAATCTCAAATGTTTTATTATTCATTTTTTAACAAGAAGGGGT